CGATTAAACATCTGCTTGTAGGAGGACGCGCCCGACCTAAGCATAGAGAGCAGCATGGGGACAGCAGAAGGGACAGAAGAGAGCGAGCGAGAGAAGGCAAGACCCGCCGCGCCGCGCCGCGCCGTCGCCGTTCGTCGCCGATCGTCTTCGAGGCTTCGCATTCCCAGACCCCCTCGCGTCGTGATGAAAACGTGACGGCCTCTCTGGCCCCCCCACCGGGCCGCCCCGGGGCAGTCAAGGAGAGACGCAGGATGAGACGCCAGTCCCAAGGAAGGGTTCGAGAGCTCCGGCGGTCCACGTGGTGAGCAGATCGAGCGTCGGGGGTGGGAAGGAGGAGGCGATGTCGCCTGCATGCACAGATTCGTTGCTCCATCCCTTGTGTGCAATTTTTCCCGTGTCGTTCGTCTGCCCCGAGCCTCGCGCCGAAAGCCAGAGGAGGATGACTTTAAGTCGGGCCTGTCCCTCTACAGGGGGAAAGTTCAAAAATAGTCAAACAGAGTATTTTTTATATATAAGAATACCAATTATATTTGTTCTTTTTATCTTTTTGGTGTTTAAGACTAACCTTAATTTTTCGCCCACGCTCCGCCTGTACGGGGATATGCCTGACCTAACCCTCCCCCCGCGGGCCCCGAGGAGAAAGGGAGGGAGAGGTGGTAGGTGGTGAAGGCGCGCGCTCGACGCGGGCGTGGCGAAGCGTCGTGCCGTTCTGCCGCCGAGTGGCCGAGAAATGTGGTGGGCGGCCCGCGGCATCCGAGACGTACTGCCTGCGCCACCGCCCCTCCAGGGGCCCCGAGTCAAGTCGGGCATGTCCCTCTTCAGAAGGAATATTTAAAGATAGTCAAACAATAGTATGAGGACGATTTTCCCATCATTATCATCGTTATTGTGCATGGTTGGATTTTTTTAATTCTTTTTGTTTTGTTGATTTTTCGCCCCAACATCCGCCGGTAGGGGGACATACCCGACCTAAGACAAACTTTCTCTTGCAGAGCGCCCGAGCATGTACCGACGGGGGTGGCGGTCGAGAGCTGTCAAGGCAAAGGTGCAACACTTTTTTCGTCGGCGGCGAGGCGGCGAACTCCGCTCCAGCGAGAAGCTAGACAGGGGCACTAACTAGCGAAGTGGCCGGCGGGCAAAGAGAGGGGGGGGGGGACGGCCGAGAGGGAGAAGGGACGCTCAGACGCCGGAGAGTTCGACGATGAGCAGCCGAGGAGGGGCAGCGCGAAGGTGCAACACCAAGGGGCCGGGGATCCAGGCAGCATGAGCTCTACCTGGCCAGCGCGAAGGCGGGAGGGGCCGGGGGCCCAGTGGCAGGCAAGCGAGAGGGGTCAAGGAGCCAGCGGGCAGGGATGAGGAGGAGGAGGAGGAGGAGGAGGAGGAGGAGGAGGAGGATCAGGAGGATCAGGAGGAGGGGCAGGAGTGTGTGTATATATATATATATATATATATATATATATATATATATTCACACATATATATATGTCTGAAACTTTGCAAGTACGCACACATACATGTACACACGTAAACTAACATACATGTATGCATACCTGCACCTACATATATGTACATACACATCCATAGATGTGTGCTGTGTGTATGTGTGGTTAGTAAGGGGGAGAGAGGGAGAGGGAGAGAGAGGGAGAGATTTGTACCTACATCAACAGAGGCATGCGCAGACGCGCACACATGCTATTACATATGTATGCTTGTACACAACGGAACTGTGCGATGAAGGGAAGGAGGGAGGGAGGGAGCGAGGGAGGGAGAGAGCGAGAGAGAGAGAGATATAACGCGGTACAAACATATGTACACATATGTATCGAGAGAGAGAGGGAGAGAGAAGGAGAGAAACACAGGGGGGGGGAGAGAGAGAGAGAGAGAGAGAGAGAGCGAGAGAGAAAAGGGAGAACAAGAGACATCTATATATATACATGTATATGTATATGTATATATATATATATATCTAGAGAGAGAGCGAGAGAGGAACAACTAGAGCAAGAGAGAGAGAGAGGGAGAGACACACAGAGACAGAGAGAGAGAGAGTCAAACAACAGAAAGCGAGAACTATGGTACGCGAGCCAAGGAGGACGAAGACAAGGACGAGGACGAGGACGAGGAGGAGGAGGAGGAGGAGGAGGAGGGGGATGAGGAGGAGGAGGGGGATGATGAGGAGGAGGGGAATGAGGAGGAGGAGGAGAAACAGGACGAGGAGGAGGAGTTGGAGGAGGAGGATGAGGCTAGCAACTCGCCCTCCGCCGAACTCGCCCGAGGACTGGGCGTGCGCCGCGCAGGACCCCAGCTGGCACAAGCTGCGCGAGTCGGCGCGCTACGCCGCGCGCCTGGCGGGTGCGCTTTCGCCGTGCGGCGCGAGTCGGGCAGCGCCAGTGGGGGGACACCATCCAGGAGGGAAGGAAACACACAGACACAGTTAATCGTGGATCCCCCAGGAAAATCTGGGAGACTATGGAAAGTGTGGGGGGGGGGGAAACAGAAACCCAGGACATATGGGGGAATATGTGGAATATCTTTATTTGTGTGTATTTACGTGTGTGTGTGTGTGTGTGTGTGTGTGTGTCCTGGGGCCCCTTCAACCATCCAGGATTCACCACCTCCTCCTGGGACTCGAGGGCCCATGAGGAGAGACAGCTGCCGATGCCTTGCCTCCCTTTGTCTTGTTGGGCCTGCCGGGGAGGCCTCGTCGCCGCCGCTGGCTTCGTCCCGAAGCTCTGCAGAGCGCACCGTGGGAGAGGTCGGGGGAGGAGCGAGCGGTACTGGTACCTCTTGCTTTTCCCAAGGGTGAGGAGGAGGAGGAGGAGGAAGAGGAGGAGGAGGAGGAGGGAGGACATCTGTTTGTCTTTTTGGCTTGTTTGTTTGCTTGTTGGTTTGTTTGTTTGTTTTGCGGACTTCCTCTGGGAGTCCTGTCGGTGTTCTTGCTGTCGATCTCACGGTCGATCTCACTGTCGACGTGCGTCGACCCAGCCTCCTTATCACCCGAAGGGTGGTGTGAATGCAGGCGTGCGTGCGCACGTCGCGCTGCAGCGCACTCTGGGAGTGTGCTCGCTGGCGTTCTCGTTGCCCTCTCCCTCTCTTCCTCCCTGCCTCCCTTCCCCTTCCCCTTCCCCTTCCCCTTCCCCTCCCTCCCTTTTTTTTTCTCTCTCTCTCTCTCTCTCCCTCTCCCTCTCCCTCTCTCTCTCTCTCTCTCTCTCTCTCTTCTTCGACGCACACATGAACATACATGGTGAATAGCGAGAGGGAGAGAGAGATAGAGAAAGAGAACGAGAGAGAGAGAGAGAGAGAAAGGGAGAACGAGAGCGAGAGAGAGAGGGGAAAAGGAGAGAGAGAGAGAGAGAGAGAGAGAGAGAGCGAGGCCATCCTATGCAATGAGATGTATGGGGGAAGTCGGAGGTCGATTGCGAACAACCGATTGTGCCTCGTTCCCCCGTTTTTGTCCTCGTCCGTCATCCTCCTTCCTCCTCTCCCTCCCCCTCGTCTTCCGCATTCCCCGCATCCGTAGGAATTTTGGCTCAAGCCATTATTGCTCAAGCGGTCGCTCGACCTCGCTCTCCTCCTCCGCGGGCGGGAGGCGCGGCCTAGAGAAGCTTCGACTGCGCCTGGTGCAGCCTCCTTGGTGGAAGCGGGTGCCCGCGTCGCAGTCCTCGCTGGAGCCCCGTGGCGTACTGTCGCTGCTGTGGCGAGCTCGGCCTTATCGGCATCGATGTGTGCGATCGCCGAGCGGCCAGCGCAGCCTGCTGCCGACGGTGCTGCTGCGGCCGAAGGCTTTCGCCCCCTCCCGCGCTCCGAGGCTGCCGCGGCGGACCTGGCGGAGCGGCGGCGGCGCCGCCAGCGGAAGGAGGAGGCGGAGGAGGAGGAGGAGGAGGATTGGATTGGATTGGACACTTCGGAAGACAAGGCTGGGGCTGTCCAGCAACGGAGAGCGGGGGAGGTGGAGACCCTGCAACAACGACACGAAACAGGGCCCTACCACTCCACTTTCCATGCCAGACAACCCTGACCTTCGAGCAGACGGACGGCCATCCCAGTGGCTCCAACCGCGCGCGGCAACCATCGCACGAGCAAGCTATCAAGCTAGCAGCCACACGGCAGATTGTACTGCCAAGTGGTGCGAAATCTTATCCACACCCTCATCCTCGCCCTCCTCTCCTCCAAGCCTCCACCACCACATCTCCGACGCAGGCGCTACGAGGGAGGGGGCGGAGGTAGGGAGGAAATCATATGCGAAGGAAGGGAGGAGGCGGAGGAGGCCTAGGTCCTCACGTCCTTGCCCTTGCCCTCGCCCCTGCCCCTGCAGAACAGGGTGCCCTGCTCGCACCGGCGGGCACACGCACGGCATAGCACTGGCTTTGTACTAAACCGCTGCGCACGGACGCATTCACGACAAGGAGTCCCGTAGCCCTGAACCGGCTCGCGGCCATCACGAGCACCAGCGACTGCGGTCGAGCATGTCCATGGATCAGCTCCTGCAGCCCATGGGTCGAGGCGCTCAGGAAAAAGATCACCACGAACCTGTTGGGCACGCGCCCCTACGCCGGCAGAAGACTTTGAACCAGAGGCAAGAGACACGTGCTTTGGGTCCTTGTCCTTCTCTTCACTGTTGCAGCAGCTGTCCACGTCCACCGCTTCGGGGTCGTGCTTCCTGAGACAGGGGAACAAAAAGTGACATAAACATAAAAACTCGGAGGTCCGCGCGGATTTCTCGGATCGGCGCTGGGGCCCCCCGGCGGCGCCTCCGGCCCCGCCCCTGGCGCGCTCCGCGCGCCAGGGAGGGGGGTCCAGCGCCGAAAGTCCGCGCGGACCTCCGAGTTTTTATGTTTATGCCACTTCTTGTTCCCCGATGAGATCTCGAGGAGCGGTGGCTGTGGATCTCTGCCCGCCCGAGTGGGCGTGCTGGTATCCACATCCAACAGCTCCACGAGTCCTCGGGGCGCGACTCAGCGGCGGCGGGTATGGTCATGCTCACGGCGGCGCGCTCCGGAGCCCTGCCGTGGAGGTCGGGGAGGTGCTCTGCGTCGTGGTGCCGTCGGCGCTCCACGGGGTCCTCCACGGGTCCACAACAATCTTCCTCGAACCTCGAAGTTCGAGCTTCGAATCTCCTTCCCCTCCTCCTCCTCCTCCTCCTCCTCCTGGTCCTCCTCCTCCCTTTCTTTTCCAGTGCAGACCTCCTGTGGCGTCCAGGCTACAGTGGATGTACGTGTCAATATCCTCCTTCCCCTCATGATCATCATCCCCAGGGTCCTGACCACCCTTCGCTTCGCACGGGGCTCCCCGACCCCTTCCTGGGCTCACCTCGTTCCGGGGCTCGTTTTGACGGGCCGTGGGCCCCAAAACGGGCCTCCAGAGGCGGACAACTACAACAATCTTCCTGGAACCTTGAAGCTCGAGCTTCGAACCTCCTTCCCCTCCTCCTCCTCCTCTCTTCCTCCTCCGCCTGTTCCTCCTCCTCCGCCTGTTCCTCCTCCTCCTCCTCCTCCTCCTCCTCCCTTTCTTTTCCAGTGCAGACCAAGGCCATGCACGAGCCCCACTTGTCCAAGCGCGCCTCCCTGCGCAGCCTGGTCGCCCTCGTGCCGGCGTGGCAGACGATGGCGCGGGTGGGGTTCATTATCGTCGCCCTGTAGGAGGAGGAGGAGAAGGACGAGGAGGAGGAGGAGGAGGAGGAGGAGGAGGAGGGGAAGAGGGAGGAGGAGTGGAAGCCCCAGTGGGAGGAAGAGGGGGAGGGATAGTAGGAAGAGAAGAAGGAGAAAGGAGGGGTGGGATGGGGTGATGAGGTGGAGAGGGTGCGGGCGGATGACGTCGACGAGTTGGTGGGTCAGGAGGATGAGGAAGAGGAGGAGAAGGAAGAGGGGCTGCGGAGAAGGAGAACGAGGGGGATGGGAAGGAGTGTGGAGGAGGAACAAGTGGACAGAAGGTGGGAGAACGAGAAGAGGAGGAGGAGGATGGAGATGAGGAGAAGAAGAAGCAACAAGACAACGAGCACGATGACGATGAGCATTTTGAAGATGAGGATGCTGATTATGCTGCTGATGGTGATGATGGTGGTCATGATGATGATGCTGATGATGATGATGATGATGATACTGATGCTGCTGCTGATGATGATGACGATGAGGATGGTACCGGTTCTGATGATGATGATGATGATGATGCTGATTCTGCTGATACCGATGCTGATGAGTCTGATGATGATGAAGATGATGAGGGTAAGTCTAATGATGTTGATGTTGTTGGTGATGATGGTGATAATGCTGATGCTGATGCTGATCATCATACTCATGATGCTGATGCTGATGCTGCTGCTGATGATGATGATGCTGGTGATGATGATGACGATGATGATGATGATTATGATGATGATGGGGATGCTGATGCGGATTTATGGTGGTAATGCTGCTGCTGACGACGATGATGATGCTGCTGCTGATGATGATGATGGCCATGCTGACGACGATGATAATGACGACTTCTGATGATGATAATGCTGATGCAAGTAATGATGATGATGATGACGATGATGATGATGATGATGATGATGATGATGATGATGATGATGATGGCGATAATGCTGATGCAGATGCCGCTGATGATGAAGATGATGATGCTGAAGATGGTAATGATGATGCTGATGATGCTGATTATGCTGATGACGATGATGATGATGGGGAGGCTGAGGAGGAGGAGGTGGAGGATGCTGCTGCTGCTGCTCATGTTTATGATGATAGGGATGATGATGAAGCTGATGACGATGATGATGCTGCTGCTGCTGATGATGATGATGATGATAATGATTATGCTGATGATGACGATGATTCTGATGATGATGATTATGATGGGGATGCTGATGATGATGTTCATGATGCTGATGATGCTGATGATGATGATGCTGAGGATGTTGGTGATGATGATGATGATGATTCTGATGATGATGATGACGATGATGATGATGATGATGATGATGATGCTGATTCTGATGATGATGCTGCTGCTGCTGATAATGATGATGATGATGATGATGCTGATGATGATGATGATGATGATGATGATGATGATGCTGCTGATGATGATGATTATGATGATGATGCTGATGATGATGATGATTATGATGATGATGATGATGATGATGATGATGATGATGATGATGATGATGATGATGATGATGATGATGATGATGATGATGATGTGGAGGAGGAGGAGGAGGAGGAGGAGGAGGAGGAGGAGGAGGAGGAATGGAGGAATGGAGGACTTCACTGTGACAGCCGACCACATGGCACATTTCACAATAAACCGACAACGTTTTTGAAAGATGTCTGTTCCATTCTTTGCATGTCGCCAGCTTCGGGACGCGAATCTGGTTGTCCTCTGCGTCGGAAGTCGCCGCTGCGTCGCGTGCTCCGCAGCCGTCAGGATCCTCGAGGTTGTCTGGTGTGACACGTACGCAACTGTAGCTGTGGCTGGCGTGCTTTTGGATGCGGCCGACGTTGTTTCATCTTGGATCGCTGAGGCCATGGCTCTTAGCAGACCTCGGAGTTTCTGATCTGTCGCGCAGCACCATGCCACAACCTCTCAACCCACATCGTTTTCCATCCTCACTTGGCGCATCCGGGTGGCCGCACACGGCCGTTTGCATCGCCGAAGGAGAGGAACGATGAGGAAGATAGGGGAACAGGGTGAGGAGGAAAGGATGAGAGTCAGCAGACAGAGGATCAGGATGATGAGGATAACGGACAACTGTCAGGCGTACGCGTATGATAACCATTCTGCAGGAAGAGCGGGCTCCTTGCGATTCTCAGCAGCTCTTGCCAGGCAGCCAGACACAGACGACGCGGCCGTGATGCCCAAGAGCTGGACACACGTGGCGGGCCTGTGCAAGAGCTGGATTCCGGCGCATGGCCCTTGCACCGCGGGGCACGCGGGGCTTCCGCGTGTGTATCCAGCGCACGACCTCCGGATGTTGCGCCTGCGAATCCAGCCACGTGCATTTCCAGCTTCCTGGCGCAGTGCTGCGCGCTCGGTGTGTCCACAGATAGTCTCGTCTTCTCGCATGGCGGGCTGCGGGTCCAATTCGCAGCGCGGCTGGGCTGCCATGCTCCGGGAACGTCAGAAGCCGTCAGTATGCTCTACAAGTTCACAGGCCAGGGGTGGACACCTGGCAGACCGGGAGCAAGCCCGGCGTCGTCCCATCAGATCTGGGTTCCGCAAAACGAATCAAGGTGACTTTTTTTGGTAGTTTTCGACATCTGGGGGTCCTGTTCTGGATGAGAGCTGGTGTCTTCTCGTGGCCACGGCTTGATCTGCTTCGAGAGCGGGTCAGGATGGACCCTGGATGGGTCCGGTGGCTGACTCTGAGCGGATCTGGGCCGGGTGAGAGATCCGCTGCTGGCGCAACTCGCCACCCTCTCCCTCCTTTTATCTTCGTTTGAGCCATAGTCACCGCTCAGCGGCCAAGCCGTTTTGGCTCTATCTCGTCTCCTCCTTACTTGTCCGCCTAATAAGACGGTCGCACCCAGCCAGATCGCCCTTGGACTGGTTCAGTACTTGCCCAGCTGCTCGCTCCAAAGCGATCAACCAGCCCAATTGCGTGTTGACCTAGCTTTGTGCACGGCAATGTGCCCCCATTCCCCCTCGAACAATCTCCCTCTTCCTCCATCCTAACCAATACCTTCTGGTGTGGCGATTGGCCCTTTCTGGGGCGAAAGACGCTCGCACGATTTGGTAGTTGGGGCTTTAGGCCTGCCTGCGCTTACCTGGCGCCTCTATGCGTCAAGCCGCGGCGTACGACGGACTCCAGTTAAACAAAGCACAAGCCATTCCCCATTCCTAAGGCAATGCTCCGTGGAGCCAAATCGACGTCGGCAGCGCCGCCTGGGACCGGGTCCGAGGGATACCTGCCGGCTGGGCACTGCAGCTCTCTAGCAATCGTTTTTCTTGTTCATTGTTTTGCCGATCGGCGCGTGCCCTCGCACCCCCTCCCTCCCCCCCTATGGAGTAGATCTTTCCTGGTTTGGGCGCCTGCTTCAAGCAGGTGGAGTCTCCCCCTCCATGGGACGCACTGTTGCAAACAGTCGCACCAAGCAGAGGTCCGGGGCCAGACCCCCCATCCCCCCCCCCCTCCTGCCCAATGTCGCCCCCACGATGCAAAGGTCCAAGCCCTCCCCCTTGCCTTCTCCCTCCGTCGGCCTCCGTCGTGCCTGCTCTGCCTCGCCGCCTCCTCGCTGAACTGCTGCGGCTGCTGCTGCCGTGGGCGCCGGGCAGGAGACCGGCTTCGAGAACCCCGGGAGGATCCAGCACCCCACCCCGTGTCCACTGGGCGAGGCGCCGTGGGTGTGTCGTCGTCGTCGCCGTCGTCGTCGTCCTCCTCCTCCTCCTCCTCCTCCTCCTTCTCCTCCTGTCGTCCTCCTCCTCCTGTCGTCGTCCTCCTCCTCCTCCTCCTCCTCCTCCTCCTCCTGTCGTCCTCCTCCTCCTCCTCCTTCCTCTGGTGGTGGTGGCGGTGGGCTGCAGTAGACACACACGATAAGAACGTCGTTGTCGTAAGACATCTTGGGGCATGCTCCTCGTCGGCCCTTCAGGGTCCCAACTAGAGGGTGCCTCAGAGCTCCTGTGCACCCCTGGGCCCACCGCGGGACAACCCAGCCCATCTGAGGCGTTCCAGACATGGCCTCGCCTTCGAGGATCGAAGGAGTTGTCATCTCTTCCGCCACGGAAGGCGGCGGAAGGGCGGCAACAGGTCGGCGCAAGCAAAACGAGGACGCGTCCACCGGCCGAAGCCGGCGGAAGCTCGGCGTAAGGCGGCGAAAGTTGGAGATTTGCCCCCCAGGGATGAAAACGTTATTGGGTTCATCAGGATTTCAGAAAGCGCCCATCTAGGAAAGCGCGGCAGGCTGCCAGCTCTCGGGCCGTTCTCTTGTCTGATGCGCCGACTGCACCGGGAAGCCGGCGGCACACGGCGCGGCCGGCCTGCCCGGCGAGGGCCGGGCGACCCGCCGATCGCTGCGGGCGCCTCCCCCGCGCTCGGCCCCCCTCTGGCCGGGCTCGCCGGGCCTCCGCGCGCGTCGGCCACCACCCGCGAAGCTTTTTTTCCGTCGGCGTCGGCGGCGAGGCAGAGGCAGTCCGCCCAGCGTGCGGCCATTTGGGGCAACCGGAAGGCAAATTGTCTGGCGTGCAATGAGGGCGGAAACCAGATGAGGGCGGCCCCGCGGGGGTAGGAGGAGGAGGAGGAGGAGGAGGAGGAGGAGGAGGAGGAGGAGGAGGAGGAGAAGGAGGAGGAGGAGGAGGAGGAGGAGGAGTAGGAGGAGGAGAGGAGGAGGAGGAAGAAGAGGGGGGAGGGGGAGGAGGAGGAAGCGCTCATACGACCACTTGCGAGCACACCCTTTCGGAGCCGATCGACGCCAGGATATCCGGCACCCCCGCGGGTCGTTCATCTGGCTGCAGGCATCCTTCAAGTGCTGAGCCCTGGGCAGTTAGCCCTGGGCAGTTTTTCAGAAATCTCTGCCCTGGATGTGGTAATCAGGTTTCTCATGTGGCTGCTGCCCAGCGTGCGCCCAGCGCGTGGCCTCTGGATGTTCCACACGTGCGTCCCCGTCTCCCCCCGCCGTCGCTCAAAGCGTCGTCGCGGCGTGGCCCCCCCCCCCCCCCCGCAGACGCCTCGCCCTTCTCCTCGGGGCCCGCTTTTCTCGCCCCGAGCCGTGTCCCCTGAGGGTCCCTGGGAAGCCGGGAGCCGGCCGGCTGCGAGGCCGGAGGCACCGAGCGGCCGGCGCCGCCGCGATGTGTGTGTGTGTGTGTTTGTGTGTGTGTTTGTGTGTGTGTGTGCGTGGTTTTGGCCCCGCGGCGGTGACGGCCGCGCCACGCGCCTTTGGGAGCGACCCGTTCCCCGGAGCGGCCTGGCCCGCTTCCGCCTCCTCTTGGCCGTCGCTTCGTCGTCTTCTCCCTCCTCTCCTTGCATAGTGGCACAAGTCGCTCTACAACGGCATCCCCATTGAAGCCTCCCGTCGCCAGCGCAGTCACCCTCTGCCTAGCCGCCGACGCAAGAAAGCGTGTGTGGGTGTGTCTGTGTGTGTGTGGCTGTGTGTGTTGTAATCGTTGTTGTTTTTGTTGTCGTCGTCGTCGTCGTCGTCGTTGTTGTTGTTGGTGGTGGTGGTGGTGGTGGTGGTGGTGGTGGTGTGTGTGTGTGTTGTGTGTGTTGTGTGTTGTGTGTTGTGTGTTGTGTCTTGTGTGTTGTCTGTTGTCTGTTGTGTGTTGTGTGTGTGTTGTGTGTGTGTGTGTGTGTTTTGTTGTGTATGTGTGTGTGTTGTGTGTTGTGTGTGAGTGAGTGAGTGAGTGAGTGAGTGAGTGTGTGTGCGCGTGTGTGTGTGTGTGTGTTGTTGTTGTTGTTGTTGTTGTTGTTGTTGTTGTTGTTGTTGTTGTTGTTGTTGTTGTTGTTGTTGTTGAACATTATTACTTCTAAAGAATAATTATTGTTGGGGCCCCTGGTGCACGCCCCCCCGCCCGCCTAGGCCGCAGCCACATTTTCATCATTTTCGAGCGAAAGCCCTTGACAAAACGATGTGATCCAGATCCGGTTGTTTTGTTCCCCCCCGCTTTCCCTTGCAAAAAACAATATAAAATGACATTTCTTGTTCTAACATAACCAAACTTCAGGAATCCATTGCAAAAAATGACACAAAGTGCACATTCGCGCGCGCAAGACGAAATCCTTCCAAAACCTTAGTTTTCGTAGCGATTTTAACATAAAAACATCAAAAACCCAATGGTTTTTCAAAAAAAAGTTGTGAAAATTCTATCCCGCGCGCTCTTGCGGATTCGTAGGAAACCCAACACTTTTTTAACATTTCTGTCAAAAGGGCTTTTGCGAGCAACTTTTTCGAATTCTGCAACAACGGTTGCGCACCTGCCAGGGCCATCATCCCTGTCAAATAATACCATGCGGGACACATTCGTTTTTTCTTCGCGCGCGCACGCCGTCGTCGGCCGCGGGGCCCTGAATAGTAGCCACGGTCGTCCGCATGCCACGAAGTGAAGTGTCCGAACGTCATAGGGCGGGAAGCTGGGTGTGGGTGGTGGCGAAGAGTCGTTTGGAAATTTGGTAGAGCTTGAACCGCCCCCCCACAAAGTGGGGGTATTGCCCGCCTCCTATGAAAACCCTGGCACTGGTGAGAACGGAGTGTCCCCACGTGCTAGTAATTGTTGTTGTTGTTGTTGTTGTTGTTTGCTTGTTGTTGTTGTTTGTTGTTTGTTGTTTGTTGTTGTTGTTGTTGTTGTTGTTGTTTGTTTGTATGTTGTGTTGTGTGTGTGTGTGTGAGTAGTGAGTGAAGTTGTTGAGTGGAGTGAGTTGTGTGTGTGTGTGGGTGGTGTGTGTGTGCGACAGTCCTCCCAGCTTCCAGCCCTCCGGAGCGGCGTCGCCTTCGACGGCGGCCATTGCCCGCTCCCGGCCTTCCCCCCCTCTTTCCCCTGGTTCCCCTCCCCTCCCCCGCCCCTCCTCTCCCCCCCCCCTCCCCCCCCCTCGTCCCCGCGTCCCGCTCCCCATTGGCCGCTCGTCCCCCTCGTCCCTCTCTCGTTGTCCCCCTTCAGTCCCCCCCCCCTCCCCTACTTCCCCCCCTCGTCCTCCCCTCAGTCCGCCCCCTTCCCCCCCCCCCTCCTCCCGCTTCCATCCTGACCTTCCTGGGGGGGTGCGCGAGCGCGGCCCAGGGAGAGAACCGCCCGGGGCCGTGCTGGACGCAGCCCCAGGGCCCCAAGAGGACCGCTTCCCTGTGACGCGCGCCGCGCGGCGGCCTCGAGGAATCCCAGGCAGACCTCGCCGTGTGGTGCGCCACCGCCTGGCCCCGGGGGGCCCCGGAGGCCCCGCTCCGCCCGAGGAGGTCTTCGGAGAGCGGCCCGAGTCCCAGGAACCGTGCGGTGTCCCCGAAGCCTCCACGGACTGCCCCTCTCTGCCGTGCCCCAGGGGGCCGGGGTCCACCGGAGCAGCGCAATACGCAGACCGTCATGGGACTTTGCCCTGCCTGGGCGCTGCCGGGCCCGCAGCTGTCGCCTCTCTGCCGTGCCTCCGGGGGCCGGGGGTCCAGCGGAGCAGCGCCCTACGCAGATCGCCATGGGACCTTGCCCTGGCTGGGCGCTGCCAGGCGCGCACACGTCGCCTCTTTGCCGCGCCCGTGGCAGGGTCCTGCGCAGACGGCAGGGGGACCTCACCTCTGCAGGTTGTCGCCAGGCGCGCAAGCGTCGCCGCTTTGCCGCGCCATTGGGGGTCCAGAGTGGCGGTGTCTCCCTGAGATCCAACTCGTGGAGCTCGCCCTCCTCCGGGCGCTGCACAGCATGCAGCCGTCGCCGCGCTCTGCTGCACCCCCCCCCCATTGGAGCGGCCCCCCTTCCGCAGCTCGGGCGAGTCGTTTCCTCTCCTGCCCCCCTGCTTCCTGGCTGCCTCTGCGGTCGATGTCACGGCCGACGGGGCCACACGGCACGTGAGGCTCTCCAGGAGAGTGCCTCGCCTTGGAGCCGCCGAGGAGCTGGAAGTGCGGCGGAAGGCTGGCGCCTGCCGGCGGAGCCAGAACGGCGGCGGCTCCGCCGGCGGAAGCTGGCGGAAGGCCAGCGGAAGCCGGCGGAAGTAACCCCATGCCGCAGATAATAAAGTACCCCCCCCTTAAGTCATTTGAGTTGATTATCGTCGGCCTAGAAGGGTTTCAAATGTAGGCGGAGAGCGCGGAGGCCGAACTTCATTATCACTGAAAAGTTCGCCGAACGTCTGAAGGATGTCTGTACGCACATCGACCCAATATATATATATATATATATTACATATATATATATATATATCCCAGACAGTGTTTGCACTTAGGTATGTCGTCGTTCTTTTATTCATTGTTCTGCCGATCGGCGCGGCCCGCGCACCCCCCCCCCTCCCCCTGGAGTAAATCTTGGCTGCTTTTGGAGCGTGTTTCAAGCAGGTGGGGTCACCCCCATATGACGCACTGTTGCAAACAGTCGCTCCCGCCCCCCTTCCGCCCAATGCTGAAACGCCGAATCAGAAAACGTTCGCTATCTCTACTTGTGTTCTAAGGGAACTGGGCTCCAGAGCGGGTCCGGCCGGCTTGTCGCCGCCTGCCGCCGCCGTCGGTCGCCGCCACTTGCACTGGGCCTCGGTGCCGGTCTGGCCGGCTCGTCACCGCCCGTCGGCGCCGTCCGTCGCCGCCCCTTGCATTCTTCCACTCGCACTCGTCCACTTTTGCACTCGCATAGCATAGCATATCGTAGCTCAGCACAGCACAGCTTACCGCAGCGGAGCATAGCGTAGCCTAACACAGCACAGCATCGTTTCGCCACGCATAACATTGCATAACATTGCACATATTGGCATCGCACAGCACAGCAACGCATCGACTAGCTTGGTGAAACCAATGTGGCACGACTTAACTGTGCACCACATCGTTTGCATTGCGGAAATTGACTCTCACTGATTGGCACAGCATGGATCGCATTGCATAGATTGCACTGCGCAGGCAGCATCGCACGTGTAACATCGCAGAGTCTGCTAGGACACTCTGTTTGGAGTCCAGGCTGGCTAACATTTTGAGTTTTGGATTCTTGATTCTCGGAACCCGCCATTTTGGGGCTCGCATGCAACGCTTATGCTCTTGTGCCTCTTCTCTTATTGCTCCCTCCTCCAGTCTCTCGCTTCCTTGGCCGTCCGCGTCGACAATCGGCTACCTCAGGGTCATCAGGCTTTGTCCCGTGTTGCTGCTGCGAGGAAAGATTTGCCCTTTCTCGCGGTCTTGCCCCGCATGGGTGCCATGGGGCGCGCAGCGCCGGGGCCTACTTATATGTAGCTCCCACTTGTCGTATAACACATGCGGTGGCTTCGGATGGACCTCTGCTCACCACGCACCAAACCACCCCAACCCAACCCGAAGGCTCAGATTTACCCTCGATTTCCAGTGTGGGGGGGAGCGGGAAACATCGAAAAAACACATGTGGAACCCTTACCCCCCCCGCCCGAAATTCGGGTCTTCGGGTTGGGTTAGGGTGGTCTGGTAGGTAGTCATCTGCGTTGCTGCCGCTGAGATAACAGGTGGTGCTGGGTACGTCCCCTGGGCAATTTCTGCTGAGAGCACTCTCGTGCATGGCGTCCCTGCCTCTATCTCATGTCTCGTGCTTGCCTCAGGTGTTCATGATGATCATGGACACGGTGTTCCTCAGCCTGGCCAACGGCGGCGCGCCTCGATCGTGTCTCCCGCCACAAGACGTGTGCGTCATATTTCCGGGATCGGAGTTTCCCTCGCCCGCTGCTTTTTCTGCCTTTCGCTCGCGCCTCTTTCCTGCCCCCCGTCCACACGAGCCTCGCCCTGTGTCCTCCTCTCTCCATTGGCCGCCTCTTCTGCCGCTCCGGATGCGGGCGCTTCGCCCCTCCATGGGAACGCTGCCGGGCCAGGTCTTCCTCCTCCTCCTCCTCCTCCTCATCCTCCTCCTCCTCCTCCTCCTCCTCCTCCTCCTCCTTCCACTCCTCCTCCGCCTCCTCCTCCTCCTTCTCCTCCTCCTCCTCTTCCCCCTTCTCTTCCTCCTCCTCCTCCTCTCTCCTCTCCCCCTCCTCCTTCCCTCCTCCTCCGCCCCTCCTCCTCCTCCTTTCTCCTCCTCCTCCTCCTCCTCCTCCTCCTTCTCTCTCCTCCTCCTCCTCCCTCCTCCTCTTTCTCCTCTCCTCCTCCTCCTCCTCCTCCTCCTCCTCCTCCTCCTCCTCCTCCTCCCCCCTTCCTCCGCCAGAGCCCGCAGCCTCCGGCGCCGCACGATCCCAGCACCCCGCCGGGCAGCGACGTGCCCGCAGGGGCGGCCGCAGGACCGGCCCTCGGCGGCCCTCCCACCTCGGCGGCGGTGCCGCGAGCGCCGGGCAGCGACGAGGGGCCCGCAGGACCGGCCCTCGGCGGCCCTCCCACCTCGGCGGCGGTTGCCGCGAGCGCCGGGGCCGACGACCGCCTCCTCCTTCCCATCCTCCTCCGCCTCCTCCCATCATCATCCTCCTCTCAATCTTGTCCTCAATTCTTCCTCCTCCTCATCCTCGCCTCCTCCCCCTCCTCCTCCTCCCTCAATCTCTTCCTAATCCTTCCTCCTCCTCCTCCTCCTCCTCCTCCTCCTCCTCCCCCTCCTCCCCCTCCTCCTCCGCCTCCTCCTCCTCCTCCTCCGCCTCCTCCGCCAGAGCCCGCAGCCTCAGGGCCCCGCACGATCCCAGCATCCCGCCGGGGAGCGACGTGCCCGCAGGGCGAGGGCCGCAGGACCAGCCCTCGGCCCTCTGGCCTCGGTGGCGGCGCCGCGAGCGCCGGCCGACGACCGGGCCCGCCAGGTGGCCGCGGCCGCGGGCGGCGGCGCGGCGCGCGCCAGGCGGGGCGATGAACATCGACAGGCTGCTGCACATCCTGGAGGCCCCCCTCGCCCCCCCATGGGTCACCACCCACCAAGCCACCCCAACCCAGCCCGAAGGCCCCAATGTATCCTCGATTTCCAGTGGGGGGGGGTCGTGGAACATCGAGAAGCACACATATGGAACCCGTACCCCCCCCAACCCGAAATTCGGGTCTTCGGGTTGGGTTGGGGTGGTCTGGTAGGTAGTCACAGGGCTCGTTTCGACTCCCCCGATTCGATTCGACGCGATCTCGACGGGGTTCGATTCTCTGCCTGGGAGGCCGAGCTGGGCGCTCCGAGGTCCTTTTGGAGGCACGCTGGCCTGCCGGTTCCTGCGCCGATTCGACTTCTCCCAACTCGGCTTCTGATTTTCGCCGGTCCGATTCATGTCGATCGCCGATCCGACTTGTCGCGATTCGATTCTGAGCCCCCCTGACCCTCTCGCCGCTGCTGCTCCGAGGAGGGTGAGACGAGACAGCGGCAGCTGGCCTTCGGGGGCCCCCCTCGCCGTCACGGCTGGGCGCAGCTCGGGAAACTGGTGCGGTTGAAGCCCGGGAGGGGTCTGGGGACCGGTCTTGAGCTGCCTTTCTATCTCAGCTTGCCCTCCGAGCTGCTGCTGCGGCTGCTGCTCGACTGCGGCTGCTGTTGCCGATGACGCCGCTGCTGCTGCTGCCGCCACGGTGCTGCTGCTGCAGCTTGGCCCGCGTTTCTGCAGGGAAGAGTCGCCGAGGGAGCTGTGGGTCGTCGGCCGTTCCTCTGGCGCTCACGGCCTTCGGGGGGCCCCCCCTGGAGCGCTGCAGTACGGGAAGCAGCGCTCGAGTCCGTCCAACTCGGCGCTCCAAGACGGCCTCCCGGGATGCGTCGCTGGGCCGAGCCGGAGGCCGGGAGTGAGCCAACGCCACCCAACGGTTTCTTACGAGGTGTTGCTGCCACGGCGGCCGCAGCAGCTGCTGCTGCTGCTGCTGCTGCTGCTGCTGCTGCTGCTGCTGCTGCTGCTTGCTGCTGCTGCTGCCGCTGCTGCTGCTGCTGCTGCTGCTGCTTGCTGCTGCTGCTGCTGCTGCTGCTGCTGCTGCTGCTGCTGCTGCTGCTGCTGCTTGGCTGCTGCTGCTGCTGCTGCTGCTGCTGCTTGGCTGCTGCTGCTGCTGCTGCTGCTGCTGCTGCTGCTGCTGCTGCTGCTGCTGCTGCTGCTTCTGCTTGCTTCTGCTGCTGCGACTGCTGCTGCCGTTGCCAGTGGTTTGGGTGGTTTTGTGATTGCTGCTGCTGCTGCTGCTGCTGCTGCTGCTGCTGCTGCTGCTGCTGCTTGCTTCTGCTGCTGCGACTGCTGCTGCCGTTGCCAGTGGTTTGGGTGGTTTTGTGATTGCTGCTGCTGCTGCTGCTGCTGCTGCTGCGTGCTATCGCGAGTTTCGTGGCCGCCTGTCCTCCTGGCTTCTACTTCTGCTGCTGCTGCTGCTGCTGCTGCTGCTGCTGCTGCTCTCCATTCCCCCTCCCCCCTCCCCCTCCGCCTCCCCCCCTTCCTCTCCCCCTCGCCTCCCCTCTCCTCTCTTCCCCCCTCCCTCCCCCTCCTCTCCCTCCCTCCCTTCCCCTCCCTCCTCTCCCTCCTCTCCCTCCCTTACCCTCCTTCCCCCCACTCCCCCTTCTCCCTCCTGCCTCTCCTCTCTTCCCCCCCTGCTGTGATCGTTTCAGTAAGTGCTTCCGTCTTACTGCAAACCCCCCCAGTCCGCTCCCGTCGCCCCGAGCGCCGCGCAGAGCGCGACGCTCAACGATCCTGCGGGGTCCAATCTGGTCTGGTCGATCCGATCCGAACTTAAGCCTGGTCGCCCCGATCCGGATCCATTCCGCCTTCCCGACGACCCGACGAGGCTCTATGGTTGCATTGCGATGTTGGACTTCCCGACGCGGGCGAGTCCGATTCGAGGCCGACTCCGTGCCGAGGCGGCCCGAGCCGACGCCGCTTCGTTTCGATCCGATCTCCCGATCTGGTGCCGACTGATCCTGTTCTGGCCAAGCCAGTCTTGTGCCCATGGGGGGGTCCTCATTTTTCCAGCTCCTTTAGTCCAGATTTCGTAATAAAGGGAGGGGGGTCTCATTTCGGGGGGGGGTCTCTTCCAGGCTATCTTGGAGGGCCTGGGAAGTCTGGGGACGATGTTTTGGAGGGTTCTCCCACGGGGGAGGTCTGAAATGGCTTGTCTTGGAGGGTCCAGACCCCCTCCCTTTTATTACGAAATCTGGAGTACCCAGCTTTGCTCACTCCCCAGACGTCCGTTTTCCTGCTTTCTTCAACGCGCAGGTTGTGGCGCTCTCGGTCCCACCTGTCCCACGGAGCCCTCGCCGTGGGTCGTGTGCTGTTTTTTTGCTGTGAGGCCTCGGGCACGAAACGGGCCTCCAGAGGCCCAAACTCAAAAAGACTGGCCGTGCTGACTAGTCTGACTCGTCCTCGTCCTCGTCCTCGTCCTCCGTCTCCCCCATCAGTGCGTCGTGGTTGACCAATCCCTCCCTGCCGGATCAGGAGGAGGAGGAGCAGGAGGAGGAGGAGGAAGGGGGGATGAGGAGGAGCAGGAAGAGGAGCAGGAGGAGGAGGAGGCGGAGGAGGAGGAGGAGGCGGAGAAGGAGGAGGAGGAGGAGGAGGAGGAGGCGGAGAAGGAGGAGGAGGAGGAGGAGGAGGAGGAGGAGGAGGGAGGAGGAGGAGGAGGAGATCGGAGGAGGAGGAGGAGGAGGAGGAGGAGGAGGAGGAGGAGGACCTCATGTTTCGGACCTCATGTTTCACGTCCGAAGCGGTCATGCGTCACGCCGCCTAAGACTGGGAAGTGACATCGGGCACAATGGGGGCTAGTCGCCTGGCGACTCGCTGCCCCGCTGGCGGTACCCTGCAGCCATGGTTCACCCGACCCTGCGGGGGCTGCGCTGGCATGGTTCACCTGCTTACGGTTTTAAGCCAGATGCTCAAAGAGCCGCAGGGCCAGCTTGGGGTAACAGCTGACGGGCTCGTGCAAACGGGGTCCGCGCTGGGACCGGACCAGGTGAGATAACTGATCTCGAACCCGACGATCCCCGCCTGGGAGTGGGCGCGAGGCCCCATGGGGTTCAAGTGCCACACGGCACCACCCATCCCAGAAATGCACGGTCGTTGCTGCAGCTGACGCCGCGGCAGTGGGCCAAGGTTCAGACATCACTGACCAGGATGCAGGGGAGCCAAACAAAAAAATACAGACGGCCGCCTTCCCGTTCCCGCATCACATCCGAGGTACCTGACAGTGCGCCCCAGAGCAAGTGTGACACTGACACCATGAGAGCAGGAGGAGGAGGCGGAGGAGGAGGAGGAGGAGGACGAGGGGGAGGAGGAGGAGGACGAGGGTGAGGAGGAGGAGGAGGAGGAGGAGGAGGAGGAGGAGGAGGAGGAGAAGGAGGAACAGGTCTCCTCTCCCGATTGGAAGGTCCTGGAGAGCCTGGCCCCGAGCGCCGCAGCCGTGCTGCAATCCTCGTGGCCGATCTTCGGCGTGCTGGTGGTGGCGCAGCAGATGCTCGGACTCGGGCGCGGGGCCCCTCTCTCTGCTCGAGTGGGTAGTACTGTCAGCCGCTCAGCGAAGGACAATCTTCCGATGCCGCCGCTCGTCCCAGAGATCCTCGTCGCTACGGCCAGATCCTCTTCGGCACGGTGGTCAGAGCGCACCCCAGGGAGAGGTCTGGGGAGTGGAGGTGCCGGCGCCCTGTCACCCTTCCAGGAACGCTTGCCCCGCGCGACTTGGGACGCGCTCCGCGGGTCGGCGCGACACGCGGAGCGCGTCCCGGCCACCAGCCCTCACCGTGGTGAGCTCTTGCCAGCCTCCCGTTCCGCGAGGCGGAGCGACGTGCCAGCGAGGCGGAGCGACGTGCCAGCGGAGCGACGTGCCAGCAGCTGAGCGCGTCCCCGGCCACCAGCCCTCACCGTTGTGAGCTCCTGCCAGCCGCCCGTTCCTGCGGGGCGGAGCGGCGTGCCCCAGCAGCTGGCAGGGCCTAGTTAGTCGTGCCGCAGGGGCCGCCGCCGCGGCGCGCCGCGGTTGGCAACACAGCTCCTCCTGGGAAGGGGGGCTGGGGAGAGGGGGTCGAGGACGGAGGATCCAGGGGTCGAGGGTCGAGCGAGGTTCCCAGGCGTTTCTGGGTCTCCCCGGGACTGGGACAGGGGGTCGAGGGCGGAGGATCCAGGGGTCGAGGGTCGAGCGAGGTTCCCGGGCGTTTCTGCGCCTCGCCGGGGGGGCTCCCTCCTCGTCGCCGCCCGCATCGGGATGCGCTGCGAATCCTGGCAAGAACGCGCCCCGGGAGAGGTCCAGGGGTCGGGGGTGGACAGAACCCCCAACAGTGACACGTCGATTAGTGAATTGTCCATTTTCGGTTCTCGAGAGTCAAGGCTTGCGCCCGCCAGGTTTGGGCCTCAGGTCGTTTTCACTAAACCACGTTTTACTAAATGGGGGTTTGTCCACCCCCGAAGGGGACAGCTTTTCACCCTCGAGCCCCTCCGCAGTCAGGTCGGGCGGACGGGAGGGTGCGGGAGTGGGAACGGAGGGGGGGGGGCGAACACTGCAGCCTGCAGCTGGTTGCGGCCCCGCCGCCCCGGGCGCCTTCCTGGATGTTCTTGGCCTCTGGTGCTCGGCCTCTCCCGGGGCGCCCCTCCTTCTCCCCCTCCTCCTCCTCCTCCTCCTCCTCCTTCCTCCTCCTCTCCTCCTCCCCCTCCTCCTCCCCTCCCCCTCCTCCTTCCTCCTCCTCCCTCCTCCTCCTCCTCCTCCTCCTCCTCCTCCTCCTCCTCCTCCTCCTCCTCCCTCTAGCCTCTCCCTCCCCCAGCCGCGAAAACGAGCTGTGCTGGATCATACCAGGGGAGCCGATGGTGTTACAGTCGGGCCGAGGTAGAAGATCGAGGCCGGTTCGGGGAGGATGCCCTAGTGTTCTTCGTGCTTGTTGCATGTGCTGATACATCCTGGGGAGGGTGCCCCTTGGATGTTCTCTGTGTGCTTTCTGGCTGGCGCAGGGTCTCATGCTCCTGAAGGGTATTTTCCAGTCCCAGGCCCGACTGCAGGGGGGCCGATGCTGTTGGCACAGATGCAGCTCCACCCTTCCCACGACACCCCGGAGGCCTGGCGCCCCCCCCCCTCCCCCAGAACCCCGGGAGCCATGACTTTTCACGGCGCGGACCTCCCCGGAGGTCTCGGCCCATTCTTCCCGGCACCGGCTTTCCGTCCTCACAGGGCAACGACATCCGTGCGGCAGGCTCGCGTCGTGTCGACCGGCGGCAACCCCAGCGCGGGTGCTTCAGGCTGAACGTCGTCTGTGGCCCAGAATCGGCCCATGCTTGAACGATCCGGCCTGGGCCTGTTTGGAAGGGCCGGCCACTCCAGCCGCCTGTGGCCCCGCCCGCCTGTGCCCTGTCTCCCTGATTAAAGCTGTGCGTAGCCCGCCTAGCTTTTCGCGGAAGAGGTTCGCTCTCGCCCCGCCGACCAAAAACTGTTTGGAAGGGCCGATCGTTCAAGTTTGAACGATCCCCGCAGTGTCGGGAGCCTTCGCCGGAGCCGGCACGGCGCGAACCTGCCGTATACATGTCTCCGCGCGCCGTCTGTTCCGGCGCGCGGCCCCACGCCTCGGGGAGGGCGTTTCTTGCCCACCGGGGCAGACTCCGCCTGGGACGTGGAGTTCGCCGTGGGTTTTTGCCCTGCTTCGAAGCAGAGGCAACGCCATCCATACACATCAACTTTTGGCGCTCCGCCTCGGGGAGGGCGTTTTGCCCACCAGGGCAACCTCCGCCTGGGGCGTGGAGTTTGCCGTGGGCCTGCCCTGGGTCGACGAAGAGGAAGCGCCATGCACAAAAAACTGTTGGCGCTCCACGCGGATGTCTTGGATCGGCGCCTGGGCCCCTGGCGCAGGGCAGGGAGGGGGGTCCAGCGCAGATCCAAGAAGTTCGCGCGGAGCGCAAGACGTTTATATTTGCAGTCTTCCCTTCTTCTACCAGTGCTGGTTTCGTCCACTGGGGCGCGGTCAGAACAAACGGCGCGCCGACACACCGATCCACTGCCCCAGGACCTGGCCCATCCTGAGCCCACGGGCAGTGCATATGCTTTTCTGGCCTTAAGTCGGGCCTGTCCCTCTACAGGA